AGCCGTCATCACGAGGTGGGAATGCTCCATGGGGTGTGTGTATTCCTTCGGTCGATTTTGTGACACGGTCAGTCAGACTCCGCACACCGGTAACACAAACGAGGAACCAGAGAGCATATGGAACCGCTCAGCTGGCACTTGCTCGTGATACCTTGTGTGTAGTGTGTTTTGGTGTATGTAGTGCAAGTGTGGTGCAAGTTGGTGATTAGGACACATCACTTGTTGTCATCTACTTCTGTTGGTGATTAGGACACATCACTTGTTGTCATCTACTTCTGTTGGTGACTAGGACACGTCACTTGTTGTCTTCTGCTTCTACCGTTTCTCCTTTCCTGTGACTACGACCTTGCAGTGGCTGGCGTGGACCCACGTAGCTCTCTCTCTGACCCTTGGCCTTCAGAGCTGTCCTACTGTAGTTATTGGGTTAACACTTGATAGGGATGTTTTCCTGAGTGCAGACAACTCAAGGTAATGGATTAGCACATTATCATTTAAATACAAAAATAGGATAGGCCCCTCAGAATTATTTGGGAGCCTTCCTGAGACATGCACATGCATAAATATAAGGTTTGTGTTAGTCATTTAACATGCAAGAATCATAAACTCATCAGTCCAAAGTAGAGAAATGTTATTGTAATTTAAAGGTGAGCTAGTCCCTGCGGATATCACCCCTTCTCAATGATTCTAAATGTTATATTAATTCACCATTTACCGTTTGATAACATATTAGTTTATCAGAAATATGTTCCTCTTCCATAAAACAGGTTTGAGAAATAAATGTTCCAATATAAAATCAATTACTCAATATAATTGACTCTTCCCTCCCTTTTCTTACATATGTCTCATATGAAATAATAACTTAGGAGTCTATTTAAGCATGGTGTAATCTATTACTCGAGAAGACTCAGTATCACCTGTGTGTAGCTTACAAAAAAACAAACAATTGTGAGAAACATATATTATGCAGGAACTGTATACCTTTGTTGAAAAACAAAGCATATCTGATTTGGGAGGAAAAGCTTCTTCCCCCTAACATCTGAGTCACTACTGAAGGCATAGCATGAATGATAGTGAGTGTCTGAGGGTGTTTTTACTGAGAAATGTCAAACACATTCAAAACCTTACATTTGAAAACAGGTTTGCATTCCTCCACTTAAAATGACGTTATCATTGGAAACAATAAAAGCTAATTGTTTTGATGTAGAATCTATCAATTGAATTGTTAGAGCAGAACAGAATGGTCGTATTATAGCATGAGTACCGTGCAGCCTTCAGTTTCACCAGGTGGAAACATTGTCCATATAATGTGAATACATGTAGAACTAGACATTTAAGAGGCCCCTGACATTTAGGCCTATTTTAAAAAATAGTAGGGGCTTTTAACAGCTTGCCAACCTACAGGCATCCTCTGCATAGCAGTATGAATAGCCTTAAAAAAACAACCCACTCTGCGGTAACGAGAGTCATATTTCTGAACCAAATGCCCTAAGTTAAGCCGTTAGTCCCATCTGACTGACCCAAGGGTTGGTGCTGGTGTGACCGGGAGGCTTCCAGGTGTTCAAAGCAGATGTCAAGCTTTCAGTTCATGGCTTGGTGGGGGGAGTGGCCCACGTTAGACAGTATTGTTCAGTTTGAGGAGCGGCATTGTCTCTGGAAGCAGGTAATGGTGTCCATTCTCAGACCAGACCATTAATGTCATTTCATGTAGAGCAGCCATAGCATCTCTGTGACTGCACTCAGAACTGTGTCAGAACTGGGTGATTCTTAGTGAAGCCGTCCAAGGCCATAGACAGAATGGAACCACGTACCAACAAAAGGGACACAAGGTCATCAATGTCTCTCTTTACCTTTGGCCTAATTGCACAACAAATTAGTGGGAAAAATGTGGAGCACTAATCCATCATCATGTGAAATGTTGAGTTAATCTAAATAATTACTTATGGGTTGAAATCAAATTAACATTAGAACTAAAGTCAGTCATAATTGGACTTTGCACGGATCCGAATCTAAGCAATACACCATTTCCCCAGCTCTGTAATGAAAAGGATAACAAGATTAGGTACATTACAGGAGTGTTCCACACCCAAACATGCACACTTATCTTATTCTAGTAGAGATTAGAGGACAAGGTCTAATGTCGTGAACAAAATGATCAAGTCAAAGTTATTTTGTTTATTGTTATGTACCTAATTTAATTTAATAATTAATCTTGAATTACTAATAACTTTAAAGAAGGCAACAATTTACAATTTGGATGAAGTGATTACTCATCCAAAGTGTGTGTGTGTGTGTGCTTGTCTGCCCCAAGGTTTCAAACATTTGGGACAGCACAGCAGTGAGAATGTTATGAGAACCAATCTGTTGTTTATATTAAACTCGAAGGAAGCTAGACTGGAACATTTTAAATAAATCAAAACACTTGCACTTTAATTAAATACATTTCACATTTAGCTCGAGCTGGGTTCAATACTTTTCTTTATGGTATTTAAAATTGGGCTCGAGTAGAACCCCTGGATTTGGCTTGCAACACAAAGTGATACTGATCTCTGTAGGACTTGGAAGTGTTATGATTCAAAGTGCCTGTGAAAGAGAGGCCCTTGGAAAACAACACCTATTTTTTAACTGTGATTACTTATTTTAAAGAAATTGCAACATTATACTTTTAAAGAATTGCTCAATTAATTTAACACATTTATTATGCACACAATAAAAACTTCAACAAATATATTGATCCTGGCTTAACCAGCAACCTTTACTCTGTTGTTCATAAGCTCGGTTTCAGAAAACTTGTCAGTAGTTTAACAACTATTTTAATTTTAATGTTAAACTATTTTTAAAACTGTAATTGAACTTCAACTTATATTAATTACCTGATTCCAGTGGCCAGTTGGAACAGAATAATTAACACAGTTTCCATTTTGCTGCAACAGCGCAAAAGGTTTCAACAACAATTAATATTATGTCTGAGTCTAGTTCTGCTTTGTTTCGGAATGTGTTCAATACATTACGTTTTTATTCATTATTACTATACAATACATAGATTAAGAATAAATGAAACAAATAATACAACATTGACCTAAAACCAGATTTTGCAACCCTGATCTCCTCAGGCAAGTCTCTGAGGGTCTCGGGGCGCAGGACGGGCATAGGGTTTATACAAGGTCACAAAGATATCTTAACATACCAGCAATACCATCTAAGAATGGATTCTTAAAGAAATATAATCTTATTTTCTTCTTACACCTAGCGCTCACCCTGAACAGTGGGCTTCTTGTTTACATTTGCCCCTGCACTCAGAGGCAGGACATAAAAACACTTTTTATTTTTCTCAGGTCATTTACTTTTGGTGAGATAATTAAAGTTTAGTTCATGTTACCCTGTCTATGGACTGATTAATTATTGTTACAAAACATACACAAGACGGCGGGACAAACCAATATAGACCCCCATACAAACAATCAGACAAACAAAACATGAACTCTTAATAAACACCAGCGCGACAGCAAAGCTCTTCAGCTCAATTTAGTCCGGATTTTAGAGATCTTAGAGGGGGTGGGAATTCTCTCCAGTGCGGCGTCTTCTCACGCCTCACCCTTGCATACAAGTTATTTATCGGTGCCTGAAAGCCGTCCAAGAACGATAACTAGCTTATCCTCTTGCGACAACCACTAGGCTATTTGTTTCTAGTGGCGCTGTGCCCCCCCGATCGGAGCCCACAGACTTTTTCCCTGCCCTTTCTATCCAAACAACAGCTCAGTTGACTGTAGTCCGTACGACCAGCCTATATCTACTCGCCATCGAGTTCACCTCAAGGTGAAACACAGTTTGCCTATGCTTGCTTGCCACTACACACCTCTGATCAATTAGCCTATAATTTTATGTATGCACTCCTGACCGCCACCTGCTCCAGAGAGCCGTAGCGCATCGGGTGATGCACGCACCTCGTGCTGGCCCGTCTAACCATGAGAAAGCGGTCCTAAACAACGAGTGCTTTTAGACCGTCCCGTTTGAAGGACGGCGGTGCCGTGAGTTAAAACCTATAGGCAATAAGCTGTGACTTTCTCCCTCTCAGCCTGCACTGCTCCAGCCCCACACACACACAGTGAGGTTTCTTTTACACACACACACGCAAGGCTGCAGCTGGAGCCGTGTTTTTACAGAGAGGTGATAGCAGTAAATATCTTTGGCTGCTTATTTTCAACTGCTGTGCTTAGCCACTAAGACCCCCAAAATCCGGCGATTTGTCCAATACAAATCTTTTACATTGCTTTCAATTCACACAGAAGCTCCACTTCACTGATGCCCTTTCTTTAAGGTATCTCTAAACATGAGCTGTGTATGCCTGTATGGCACTTCCGTCCCGAGCAGCATACACAGAGGAAATAAGCCAGGACTGAGTCCCCAGACACTGATTCCCTGGGTTTATCATCCCCAAATGTTCATTAACCAAAAGGAAACGCAGCCGATCAGTTTCACAGGTAATTTTAGGATACCGTCAATCACAGATTCTGATAAGGCAATGTCCAAAGTAGATTTGAAAATCACACTTACCACAATCTGAAGATCTGTTGGCATCCTGCCGACAACGCCAATTTGTAGCGGAAACTTCTGTGTAGCTATGCAGTGGGAGTCACCGACTCAGGAAGGAGACACGGGAAGAGCAGTAGCTTTGATGTCAAACACATGATGGTTTATTTGGAGTTAAACGGCCGGAGGATTCACATCACAAGTCCAAGAGTCAGAGGTTCTGACTTCACGGTAGAGTTGCCACGTCAATTCTGGAGAGCCTCTCTCTTGCCAGCCCATCTAACTGGTTTCGCAGAGAGTAAACAACATATTTGAGGAGATAGCCTAAACAGTGTGGGAACACAGAGCTACTTGCCTCGGACACTTATGACCTCGAAGATTTTACCTTGGAGTCCACAAATACAGAGAAGGAAGTGTCCCAGTGTACCCACAACACAGACCATCTGTATCCCAGTATTGACCGGTCACAGAATGGGAACAATAACATTATTGGCTAAGCCGCCTGTGTCCTTAAAGAAGGTAAACAGACATCAAGGTTTGTCCTGTATGTTACTAATTGGCGTCTTATGATAATTATTTCCACAACAACCACGACATTATTTGAATATTAAGATTATTCATTATTATCAAATTGCACATACTGTCTCGATGTCTGAGATCAAACATGTTCATACTAGCAAACGTGTTCATAATAAGACACGTTTTGCATCTCGTCTCTCATCTTATTCTGACTGCAGTTATTGACACAAGAAATATGCTCATTATGACAAAATGGGTGGCTCTTAAAAGAGCCTTTTGTGGATCTTAGTCAGATCAGTCTGATGACAGCTCACTTCTTCTTGGGTGCTGCCTTCTTCGCTTTGGGTTTGGCGACCTTTGCGGGGGATTTCTTGACTGCAGGGGCCTTTTTCACCACCTTCTTGGGGCTCTTTGCAGCCTTTTTAACGACCTTCTTGGGGCTTTTAGCGACCTTCTTCGGGCTCTTGGTGGCCTTCTTGGGGCTCTTGGGAGCTGCTTTCATGGCTGCTGCGGGTTTCTTCACCTTCTTGGGAGACTTATTTCCTGCCGCGGGCTTTTTGGCCGCTGCAGGTTTCTTGGCTGCGGGCTTCTTGGCTTTAGGAGCGACTTTCTTGGCTGCGGGCTTCTTGGTCTTAGGCTCGGCAACCTTTTTGCTCATCTTGAATGATCCGGACGCTCCGATGCCCTTGATCTGGACCAGTGTCCCATTAACGACCAGGCTCTTGATGGTGGTCTTAACGCGGGAATTGTTCTTCTCCACATCGTAGCCTCCGGCAGCCAGAGCCTTCTTGACGGCGGACAGAGACACGCCGCTTCGCTCCTTGGATGCGGCCACAGCTTTAACGATGAGATCGCTGACTTTGGGGCCAGCTGCCTTCGGCTTGGAAACCTTCTTCTTGGCGGCTTTGGCCGGTGCAGCGGCTGGAGGGACTTCTGCCATTTTCTGCTCAAGGTTTCTGTTCCTGCTCACACTAACACGAGTCTGACTGAACTGCTGGAGAGAGCAGAGCAGGGGCTGCCCTTAAACACACCATGAGAACCGTGGAGACTCAACTAAGCCCATGGCGCCACTCTGCAGTCTGAAAACTTTGCCACTTGTGTTTTCTCTTCACTGATAAAAGCCTCCAAAGTCATTGTAGAAAAAGTGCTGTATGCTGACTGTTAATGGAACTGATAGCAGACTTGATTCGCTTCATTTTGAAAGTATGTATAGCTCTGATGCTAACTGAATTTTGTTTGTGGAGCTTCCAATCGTCACATTTCCCCCGCTGTGGCCAGCACTGTTCAGCTGCTTATCCTCTAATTATTCTACTGAAAACATTTCAAATGCACCAAATCTTTGATAAAAGCTGTTTTCAAGTGACTCACATGTGTGTCCAGTGACTCCCTTTAAAAAACAGCTGTATTTTGTTTATGATATTATAATAAAGTGACGTTTTCTGGTAGGAGCAAACACACTGATGATCCGGGGCATAGGGTGCGGTTTAACCAGGCTTCCCATTAAAGTTGCTCGCTGTGAACATGTCTCCAGGTGAAGAGGACTCATTTCATTATACAAAGTTAGGCTTTTAATTATATGAGACAAATGTAACATTTGTGATATTGGGCTATATAAATAAACATTGATTGATTGATTGATTGATTGATATCAAACAGCGTGGCAAATACAGCTAAGTAAACTGTTTGGGAGGCTGTGGCTCAGTGGGTAGTGTGCTGGGGTTCTATTCAGGGGGTAACAAGTTCGAGTCCCACTGCAGTCAGCATGTCGTTGTGTCCCTGAGACACTTCACCCCAAATTGCTCCTGTGGGGATTGCCCACAGTATTGAGTATGTAATTCGCTTTGGATAAAAGCGTCTAACAAGTGACATGTGATGTAATGTTTCACTGACACTCATCAGAAAACTTGATGCTGATTTAATGGGCTAATTAAAATATAAAAAGGACAAGAGTGGCTTTTAAGAGGCACTGATCTGTAAATGTAAACATGACATTGTTTCCCTTATGTTACACACACTATGTATGAAATGTGTGCATACATAATATCAATTTTAAATTTCCCTATTTTAATTACATTTTTACATTGTGTTTTTTTTAATGTTAAAGGGATAGTGGAAATCCGCGAATTTTGGGTTTAACTTATGTATTTTTATTAAAAATAAGCATAATAAACAATTTTTTGTAATTTCATGCGCCTAGTTTCATTTTATTTTCAATTTTACTGCGCCCTCTCAATGAAACGAAATACTTCGGGAATCGTCAGGAATCTTCGGGTGATGACGAGAGCATAGGAAGACGGGCACAAACAATGGCGGACATTCAATAGCATTTGCATGTGAATAGCCGACCTTTATTATGGTACCGAGTATATTGCCATAAATATGATGATTGATTATCAGTAAAAAAATCTACGTGACACAACGACATTAGATTAACCTTGAGATGCGTTTGTATTCCGTTGAACACAACTTTTGATCACAAATCAAAAAAGGTAAGACGTAATTATTGTAATATTTTTGGAACCGGATGTTGTTTACTTTCTCTTTTCTGGCTGATAGCTCCAGGAATTCGAGGTCTTACAGTGATGACATTACATGTGTGGAATCTGTGGAGTCTCAGCTTTAAATCGTATATCTTGTTTGTGCAGTTAAGATAGTAATAAGGGCATTTCTACCGTGTGTTGTGTGTAAAAAAGCGTTAGCATTAGTTAGCATTGTTTCGCTCAATGCTAATTCAAAGGCTTGGTATTACTCTTGTGTTTTTTCTAGCTAACAATTGTTCTTATTGTCAGTTAGCGGAGTTTCTTACCTTTAAAAGGGTATGAAACATTAATAGTTTCATAAATGTTAAGAAGCCCTGAGACATGTGAGAGAAAAAAAACTGTGGGAGGGGTCCACTGGGGGGACCTTCAGGCTTAACTGGTTAACAATGATTAATATTTGTAAAGGCTACAGGTGATCTTAAGATGCGTGAGCTATGCTTAGGGACCTACCAGTCAAGATTATTTGTGCGTAGGGGTGCATCATCTGGCGCCTGGTCCTGGTCATCCTCGCCATTGCCCATGCCGTGAACCATCACCTCGGGCTCGGGCTCGAACAAATAAGGACGTAATGGTCCATCGTCTGGCTCAATATTGTCACCATCGTCGCTTACTGAACCGGATTCAGATTCAGTTCCTAAAACGACATTTTCGTAGGAAAGCCGAGAGGATGTTTCTGACTCGCTATCATCACTGGATACCTCGTACAATCCTTCTTCTTTGTCTGGTATATTTGCCCTTCCACGTTCATTCTGCATAGACGCCATGGTTTGTTATCGTATCGTCTTCCTAAGTTTTCGTCACTTCCGGTTTGGCTGAGTCGAACATTTCGTTTCTAAAAAACTTCGGGGAAGCTGCAATAAAGTGCTTCTAACATGCGTAAGGCAATTATTATATTTTTTAATCAGGTGTGATTGTTTTGGTACGTAATTATGCTTGTATATAAGTTAAAACGAGACTATTTGAGGTTCCATTTCCACTATCCCTTTAATTTAGAACAATGTACATGGAGTCGGTGGACGCATGCGGACCCAGGTGCGCATAATTCTACGTAATTAATCATATATTTTCGATTATAAGGAGTATAAATATGATTCAGATATCCGCGGAATCGCTGGAAGAGTAGCTTTCCAGCGGCATCTCCTGTGAGACTGTAACCAGGGCACAGCAGTCAATATGGCCGCTCAAAGCAGCTTGACTTTACACTGTGTGGGATTGGTGGATTTGTGTGTCCGTCAAGGAAATCTCGGCCTGCAGCCATCATGGTCTGAAAGGACCAATGGACATCGATAAATCACTAAGGACCTACCCACCAAGTAAACAAAACATAAACCACGTGTCTCCCATCAGTTTACGTCTTTGAGGAGAGAGAGAGAGACAGAGAAAATGGCTAAAAAAAACTTTACAGTTGCCGACCTCGCTATAGATTGTTTTCGCTAGCAGCAGTGAAGATAGAGCCTCAGAACCTGAAGTCTTCGACTCTTCTGAAAAAGAAGAATACAAAGACAACAACAAGGATCCATTTGGACATGGGTAAGTGTAAATATTACAGTAATAGTGTACTGGCAATGTGTGGGGAATACCGCGAACATGAACAATAGGTTTATTGATATATATTTTGTATCGATAGTCATGAACTTTTTATTGGGACAAAATAGACTCTCCATTAGTAAACGTTTACTCTGTGTTAATGTTATTTTGGTGTGTAAAAGTGAGATTACATGTGTAGATGATTAAATTAATCATTTATTCGTCCCACAACGGAGACATTTACAGTGATATGTTTTTGCCATCGATTATTTTATCATACTGTTCTGTACAGATGAGACTTTGTCATAGATTTATTGATGTGTGCCTGTTATTATTTTACCGTCCTGTACAGATGAGACTTTGTAATCAGATGTAGCCTATGTATATGTGTGTCTGTGATTTTATACTGAATGTAAAGTAACTGGAAATACCTGTTTGTGTGTGTGTGTGTGTGTGTGTGTGTGTGTGTGTGTGTGTGTGTGTGTGTGTGTGTGTGTGTGTGTGTGTGTGTGTGTGTGTGTGTGTGTGTGTGTGTGTGTGTGTGTGTGTGTGTGTGTGTGTGTGTGTGTGTGTGTGTGTGTGTGTGTGTGTGTGTGAGAGAGATCGAGAGAGACTCCTTCTCCAACCTCCCAAACTTTATTTGTATGTGTGCATTGTTATTTGTGCTTGAGCAACATTTTACTTGAACTTTATTTCAATTAAATTAGTTGTAATTATTGTCCTACATTTTAATTTGTTTTACAGAGATGTTTCATAGATGTCTGGGCCTAGTGGCCGACAGGCGGTGTTTATCCAGCAGCCACAACATCCATCTGTGCCGGCCCCCAGGTCAAGATCTACTGTGGCTCAAGGGCCTTCACCAGAGCCATCACCACCAAGGACCAGCATCACTACAGCTGCCTCCACCTCCATCTGCGGCTGCCACCAGGTCAAGATACACCTCAGCACAAAGGCTCCACCACAGCCATCACCTTCAACCCAGCCAGCAAGGAGGTCTCGTGGAGGTCTCGTATAGCACTTGTACACCCCACCTACACAGCAGCCCATGCACCATCACCCCCACCTAAACAGCAGCCAGACCCACTGTCTTGGAAGACAGACAAAGACCTTGACACTGTCTTAATATTTATAATGAATAGTTGGTTGAAAGTTCTGATGTTCAATATTGTAAATAGTGAGATTTTCCAGTTTCTTATATTTATATAAATAGTTGGTTGAAAAAAACATATTTATAATAAATTGTTGGTTGAAAAAAAAGGTTGAATGCTCAATTTGTATTTGTACACATCATATGAACTGATGTATCTCAGTCCCTGCTGTGGTGAAAGTAGAGTGATAAACACCTATTTTACTCAACATTCAAATTAAAAAAAAATCATTTCAGACATGAATAACACATTTATATACAGTGTAATTCAAAGATTTCACTGCTTTTGTGATCCTAGGACTTTGGAAACCAAATCTAAAACACCAAAACAATTCGATCACATGAGTAAATGTGTGTTTTCACAAGAGTTTTGAAGATTTTCCAAAAATCAGATGTCAAATTTGAAGCTTTCGAGCTACTTATCTCATCAAACAGTGCTCCAAGGTGAGTAATATGCATATATAGCAAGACCAGAGATTGTCCTGAACATTTTGATATGTAACACATGGGGTGCCATGTTAGAAGAAATACATTTAAAAGGTGATTTAAGAAAACATCTAACAATCGAGAAAATACCCTTTGGGTTAATTTTGTTTAGCTCTTCAACATGAGGTTTCTTATGATTATAACATTACAAATATAGTTCTATATGAGGAAATGCAACAGCATCAAATAACCAACTTCTTTAAGAACTCTTAAGTGGAACAATAACTATCTCAGCTCATATTGTTCTTATGTGTTTTGTTTACCATCAACTGGAACATGCATCTACTGGTACATGTTA